TTTTTTCGTCCTCATTTCTTCCCATTGCTTTAGCATCTCTATACTCAAGAGCAAGTTTCAGAGTCTCTTCTAACATCAATTTTGGTCTTTGCTTTCTTTCCAATGACCTTTTGCTTTTTTTTTTTTTCAGTATGATGTTCTTGATGTCATCCCACAGCTCTTCTGGTCTTTGGTCATTAGTGTCCAAGGCATCACATCTATTCTTGAGATGCTCTCTAGATTCAGATTGGATATATTCCAGGTTATATTTTGAGTATCGTAGACTTGTTTTATAGTTTTCTTTAGCTTCAGCCTGAACTTATATGTGAATAGTTGATGGTCTGCTCCACAGTCAGCCCCTGTCCTTATTTTGGCTGATGATATTGACTTTTCTACCATATCTTTCCACAGATGTAGTCAGTTTGATTCCTGTGTATTCTATCTGGTGAGGTCCTATGTATAAACCTCTTTTATGTCATTTAAAAAGGTATTTGAAATGAATACAAAACTCTGTCATTTGATCTCCATCATCATATCTATCACCAAGTCCATATTTTCCAACTACTAATTTTCCTCTGTTTCCAACCTTTGTATTCATTCACCATTAATTATCAATGCATTTTGATTGAATGTTTGATCAATTTTCGTCTGAAGAAGTTGGTCGAATTCTTCAATTTCATCATTCCTGGCTTTAGTGGTTGGTACATCCATTGGAATAATAGTGGCATTAACAGATCTTTTTAGGATATTATATTGTCACAGAAAGCATTATACTTCAAGATAGATATTAAAATATTCTTTTTGATGATACATGGGACTCCATTCCTCTTGAATTCGTCATTCCTGTCACAGTAAACCAAAATCTTGTCAGATACAAGGTGGCCAATGCCAGCCTGTGTTAACTCATGAATGCCTACGGTATCGAGCTGTATGTGTTCCATTTGATTTTTGACAGCTTCCAATTTTCCTAGATCCATACTTCATATATTCCATGTTTCAATTATGGATGTTTGCAACATTTTCTCCTTATTTTGAGTTGTGCTCCATCAGCAAATGAAAAGTTCTGAAAGCTTTAGTGTATTTGCTTCATCATGTTCAGTTCTACTTTCAGGAGGCAGCTCTTCCCCAGTTGTATTTTGAGTGCCTTCCAAACTGATGGATTCATCTTCTGGCACTGTATTTAATCATGTTCTGCTGGTATTCATAAAGTTTTCAGTGACTAAACTTTCTGAAGTAGTCTGCCTCTCCTTCCTGGTCTGTCTTAGGCTGGAAGCACCACGGAAACCTGTCCACCATTGGTGACCTTGTTTGTATTTAAAATACATGCGGCATAGCTTCCAGAAGTACAGCAACACACAAGTCCCCACAGTATGATAGACTGACGGACAAATGGTGGAAACTACACCATAAGGTTTCCTTAATTGCTTGTATGTTCATAGATTATTAGAAAAAGTTTGTTGCTGTTGTTTTTAAGTAACGTCAAGTCAGTTCTAACTCATAGTGAGTCTGTATAGGAAATCCTTACTTTTGGCTAGCAGTCTAGTACTTACCCTACCATACCACACCAGAAATCCTGAGAAAGCATTATTGTTGTTGCTGTTAATTGCCATCGAGACAATTCCGACTCATAGTGATCCTGTGTTAGGGTTTTCAAGTGGCAGGTGGTAGATTTGAATCTCTGACTTTGTGGTTAGAAGTCCAGTGCTTACCCTACAGTGCCACACCAGGGCTCCAGAGAAAGTATAGACACATTAAAAAAAATAATAAACTGATGATAGGGTAGGAAATTTTACCTTTTAATGTGTTTATATTTGTTTTGTTTGAATCTCTTTATCATGTGCATGTATTGCCATCTCTGCTGACCAAATAAATTTGCATGTGTTAGGAAATTTAGGAGAGTACATAGATGGCTTTCCTAATCATTTCCTCCAGAGTATGTTTCAGCTGCATGATACCAGACTAAATGGATCTTGGGACCGGTCCAGTGTGGCAGTTCTCAGCCACCTCCCCCTGTAACCTCTGTATCCAGTGTCTGACTCCTGTTTTTCTGAATTTATGAGAGTGGGATGAAGAGGAAATATGTTCAGTCCCCATTACCCAGCAGTGCCTTTTTGTACTTTGGACTTCTCCTCCAGGTCATTTTCAGTACTCACTCTAATGGTCAAGTGTTAATGGTGGGAAGAAGTATATTGAGTTCCAAAGAAAAAATGTGAATCGTTTTGGTAAGACATTCAGACACCACTACACTCTACAAGTGAAGGGTGCACCGAGCATTGGTGAGGAGATAGGGAAATCGGCAGCCCTTCCTGAAAATGGGGTAGCTTGGGAGGCTGTATTTAATTTAGTTTGGATATTAAATGAATTAAAATGGGCTTGCTCATGTTATGAGCCTTACCTCATCTGTGCTATAAAAAACCCTATAACTGGGCTGTAATTTGACTCTTTTTTCTGTAACGTTACACAATATTCCTATGGTTACAGAGCCCGAATAAGTGGAAGCTAATCATTAGTTTGCTAAATGTGGTTCATGGAACAGTTCACAACTCCCAGACCTGCCAACTGCTGCTTGTTTACTGTCATGTTCACTCTTCTTGGGTAGAAGTTGATTTGTTCTTCAGAAAAGTGTACAGTAACATTTGTCTTGAATCCATTCAGTGTGACAGCTCTCCATGCGTCTTGAGGGGGAGTGGCGAGGGGGTGTGGTGGGGGTGGCGGTGGTCATGCTCAGCGGAGTGTTTTGGTACATACACTTTTGAAGGAAGAAACCATTTAGTGAGTGTGATATAACAAAGGAAAGAATTAAACTGAAGAAGTTTTGAATATAGGGAAATCACATTTTCAGAAATTTGCTGTGGTAAAAAATCTATAGAATTTACTGTTCTGTGGCCCTAGAAATAAAACCTTGTCCTTAGATTCTTCCTTGTTTGTTTCATGTGACAAGAAAAAGAGCTGATTGGTTGCCCATGGTTACTTGTAAATATCACACAGGTATTCTGCCTTCCCTAGCCAAACACTTTATGAGCTGAATTTCTTTTCTCTCTAGTCTCCCAGTGTGAGTCAGGGGACACGCTGAGAGCAGATTTGTGATCTTACCTAGTAATTATGGGCTTGATCCTTAAATCACTCATGACAAGCTCATCTTTTCCTATGGAAGTGGGTTCTTAACCATTTTTCCCCTAGTAAATAGAAAATCATCCTACCTGTGAATCATTCCCGTTTCCACCTGATTTCTTGCTGGAGGAAATTCTTTCTTAGTTGACTTCTCAGAATTCTTATTGGAGACTATCCAGAAAGGGGCAGTTCAGTGTCTGTCTCTGTTTATCTGATGTATTATTTAGATCTCTTTGGCTTTTAAAGACAGAAAACTTAACAGGAGTTTCTGAGGTCATGTCACTGAAAAGGTATGAACAGACACAAAGGCTCAACCCATGTCTTCAAGATCTACTATCCACATCAGTCTACTCTGACTGTCTTTTGGACTGACTCTCAGGCTCTGCCTGGTGGGACCTGGCTACTTCATAACATCCCACAGGAAGCAGTATATGCCTTCCTTCTCTTCCTCTCCCCTTTCCTGGAAATGTCTTGAAGTTTGTTCTGACTTGATTAACTTCAGTCTTGGTCTATCCCTGAATCCATCACTGTGCCCAGGAAGGTGCTATGCTTTGATCAGCCTGTCCTGAATTTCATTTCCCATCTCCCAAGGGTAGGGTCTCATCCAAGTATATGGGAAAGAGTGGCCTTCCAAAGGAAAATCAGAAGCTTCCCAGAAAGAAAGGGAATGGGATGTAGGAGGCAAATAACTAGACCTGGTGTGGAACTCAAGGATAAGCACTGGATTACTAACCACAAGGTCAAACCCATACAGACAGGGTTGCTATGAGTCGAAACTGACTTCACGGCATGTAAGAACAACAACAGGTAGTATAAGGAAGCTGAGCTCTCCTGCCAATGCACTGAAAAGTGCCACTTCCACTTCAATAGTTTATATGTGACCCAGTTACCTTGCCAGTGAAAAGATGGCATTCTGCTGGCTAGTGCAGCAATTTTAACTCCCCAGTCTCTGCCTTTCATTCTCGCCTTCCTGTGTGCTGCTCAAGGAGATTAAAATAATGTTTTCTCTGTTTTAATACACGTGTATTTAATTGTGTACACATTTGTTTTAAAGTTCAAGCAAGAGAAGACAAGAAAAAATTACTAGGTGTTGATGGATTGGTTTTCATGGTATTTTCTGTGCTTTAGGCAACTTTACAAAAATATGAAACCAATAGAATCAAATCATAAACAGTTTAGAAAATGTAAAAAGCCACAATTCTACCATGCTAACCCAATCATTGTTTTAATTTTAGAATATTTCCTTCTAGTCTTTGTACATGGATCTCTTACAAGCATGTGTATCTTCTTTTTTGTTTTTGTTGCTTGACATTAGATGCTTTAATCTAGGCATTTTCCAAGTTGTTGTAAGTCATTATTACGTATGTGGCTATATAACATTCTACACATCGGGTACACATGGTTAACAATCATCCTATCATTGGGCGATTACGTTGCTTCCCTTTTTTATTTTTTTCCTACTGTCATGAGGAATTGTGTGTGCTGAACATTGTCTGGGTATGTAAATTTTCTCCTGCCTTTTTGGATTTCTTGAGGATGGATTGTGAAAAGTAAGATTACTGGTTCAAGGGGTATAACCATTTTCATGACTCTTGAAGTTTATTACCAAAGTACATTTCAAAATGACTGCCTTTATCTTCACTGCTTCTAGCAATTTATAAGAGGGTCATTCTGACTGATCCTTGCCAGCAAGAGGAATTTGGATTTTTCAACCATTTTCTAATTTAGGCAAAAATATGTGTTGGTTTTGTCTTAGCATGCGTTTATTTTAATTACTAGTAAATTTGCACACTTTTATGTGTTTTTTTAATTTTATTTTCTGTATAACTATATTTGCTACTGTAAACATTATTTTCTGTTTGTTTTAGACCCCAAAATAGCTTCTGAAACAGAAACGGACATCTGCGCTGAGTGGGAAATAAAGACCATCACTAGTGCGCTGAAGACCTACCTAAGGTAGGGACTTTCCATTTACAAGGCAGGCTGCCAGCCTGTTATCTCTCATCAGGAGAAAGCAGTTTTATTTTCAGCCTTCAGAGTTGTTGGGCGGGTGTTTGAAATGTGAAAACAGTTTCTGTGTGGGGGCAGTTAGCTCATCTGGTCAACCTAATTGTAAATCATCTGCAGTTGGTAGCTTGCCATTGTACAGTGGCGCCTTGAGGGATATAGGAAGCTACAATCTTTTTAAGAAGCTACTGTGATAATTGGAGTCCTGGTGTGGCACTGTGGGTTAATGCACCAGACTGCAAAGCCGTTTGAACTGCAAAGTCAGCAGTTCAAACTCACCAGCTACTCCTTGGAAACCCTGTACAGGGTTGCTATAGGTCAGAATTGACTCGACGGCACTTGACAACAACAACAACTGTGATAATTAACCTTGAATAAAGACAACTCCAGCAATGGGTTTTGGGTTGTTAATCAAAAATATGGTCATCCTTGAAATCCCTGAATTTTCTATTAAGGAAACCAAGGAAGCATGCATCACATTCTGTAGAAAATGCAGGATCGCATGCCTCATGCTTCTTGATAGTTTTGTGCATTGTTTTAGCATATATTGCTGACATTGGTCCCTAAAAATTAGAACTTAATGCAATTTGTTCATGACCCCTTCCACTTAGATTGGAAAATATTACTTTACTGAAGAGAAGACAACTTTTATTTTGTAATAAAATATATCATACACCGTGTCCTCTCCATCCCTGTTCCTCTGCCTGTTGGGGGTGGAAGGAACTCTGGTAGCATATTGATTACAAGTCAGCCTGATTTTGGTGGGGGGGGGGTTGACTACCTGTATACATCATGTCAGTTAGATTCATGAATAGATTGAAGTTTTTGCTGGACTCAAAGGGTAGGAATACTAGAGTTCTCCCTTAGAGTTTTTTTTTTTTACACAGGAAGGTGAGATCTAGTTGTCAATAGGGAGGAGAGACATAATCATGAATTGTGTAAGCATCTATAGAGGCTTTTGAAGATTTGATTGGCTGGAAGGCAAATTCCACAGAAAAGGAACTGATGATGCAGGTTTTATTGATTATTGGGGAATTAATGGGAGGGTCTTAAAACCACGAGTAAAATGTAGTATAAGTTATGTCTAAGTGTTGAATTAGGACATCCAGTGAGATCTTAAAAAGTTCTGTGTGGAAGCTTATTTGGACTATCAGAAAAAAATCTCAAGTTTTCAGCTAAACCTATTAACACCCCAGTAGGTATAAATTTGCGTGTGGTATGCCTAATGTTATAGGTTCTAGCCCTTTGACATTCTCAAACAACACCCCATAGTGAGTCTACCACAGAACACACGGAAGTCTCTCACAGTGTTCTCAGATGAACTGATTTGATAACAGGTTACTGGGAAGATGAGAGTTTAGGCACGCGTTGTTGCAAATTGTTAGTTCCTTGTTTCTTAGGCAGTTCTTAAAATGCTTTTGTGGATAAATGAGTCAGTGACTGAAAAAGAAGTCTTTTAGTTTGTGCTAGACTGTTGCATTAGCACTTATCTCGTTGTGACTATGAAATATTGTACTCATTCCCTTAAAAAATACAAAGAGAAAGAGTGAAAATTTCAGATGCCTTCTCAGGGCCCTTTCATTTGGGAAACGAAGTTGAACTAGGTTGAGTTGCTGTCATTTTCTTGTGATCTTTATCTTTGAGAAACGTAATATAGTTTGGCAGTCTGTATGAGCAAGTATGACTATTGTTTTATCCCTAAACTGACAAATGTATATACTTTCACTCCAGAATGCTTCCAGGACCACTCATGATGTACCAGTTTCAAAGAAGTTTCATCAAAGCAGCAAGTGAGTTCCTTTTTTTGGTCACAGTTTTAAGGGGAGAGAATAGATTTTTCTATTTCAAAGAAGTCAGTACCCCAAAATAAATTTTATCTAATCCTTCATATACTACCTGTAAACTTCCCACATACCAGCTCAGGAGACTGTAACCCAGAATAAAAATGAAAATAAATCAAGATTACTAAGGGCCTTGCTACCACATAGAATTTACAGTAAAGGAGAAAAATCTTTTTCTTTTGTTTCTGTTTGTTTTTTTAGGGTGGGGAGGCAGAAAAGGAAGGGAAAAAAACAACAACAAAAAACCTACCCACACACACAAAAAACCTCGTTTCCCTTTCTACAGTTTTATTGGACTTCTGACTCCTTGGTGTTTTTCAGGCCTTGAGCAGCATTTTGCAGAATGAATCAGACATTGCACATTACCTCAACTTAACATTGGAAGGCTTTCCCTGAATACGACACCATTATGTAACTTAATGATCTTCTTTCCATGAAGTCTTCCATTTACAGCTTCTGATCATTCTTCAACTGTATCATCCAGGCTCCTAGCGTCATACTGCTGGAACTAAAATACATAGGGATTAGGTGCAAGCTGCTTTAAGTAATCTGGAATCTGTCTACGTGGGGCAAGCCTCCTAAAAGAGGACAGTGAGATTCTCTATCAGATTTAAATCTGGCTTCAGTCCCCAAGGTGCTATTATGTTGGTAGCCTTTACCTACCTTTAAGCCTTTGGAGTTTGTTTACCCTTGTAGGTAGCTCCTACTGGTCTAATTATAGAACTTGATATTCTGCTGTGGCATATGAGTTAATGCGCTGGACTGCAAAGTCGGTTTGAACCGTAGGGTTGGAGGTTCAAGCTCAGCAGCTGCTCCTCAGAAACCCTAAATAGGGTCGCTATGGGTCAGAACCAACTTGAGAGTACTTAACAACACCGACAACAATGTTCTGGTATCTACAGTCACTTCATATGCATGTGAAAGCTGGACTATGAATAAGGAAGACCAGACAAGAATCTATGTATTTGAATTTGGTGTTGGTGAAGAATATTGAAAATACCATGGACTACCACAAGAATGAACAAATAATCTGTTTTGGAAGAAATACAGCTGGATTGCTCCTTAGAAGTGAGGATGGCAAGACTTGGTCTCTTGCACTTTGGGCATGGTATCAAGAAGGACCAGTCCCTGAAAACAGAGCTCATGCTTGGTAAAGTGGGCGTCCATGAAAACAGGAAGGACCCCAATGAAATGATTGACCCAGTGACAGCAACAATGGACTCAAACATAATAATAATTGTAAGAAAGGCATAGGGCTGGCCAGTGTTTTGTTCTATTTACATAAGGTCTGTATGATTTGGAATTTACTTGATGGTACCTAACAACAAGGATAACATTGTTCTGGTGGTCTTATCTTTAAAGAGTTCTCCCATATCAAAGAAGAGAAAGACATGGGAGAAAATGAGGAGTGGAGCTGATGTTTCAATGATTGCTCTCTCAGAGAAATTCCAAGCCCATAGCAACCGTTCTTTAATTAAACCTCACATCACTGCTATAAATAGGTATTGCGAGTACCATCATTCTGTTTTCCAGAGAGATGAAGCCACTTACTCAAGTTCAACCAAGAGAACATGACAGACAAGTCATGATTGAAGTTACAGGTTGGAAGATAGATCTTCAAATCTCATCTGCCATTGCTTTATAAGCCAAACTGGTTGCCACACATCACTTGAAGATAACTAAACATTTCCTGTGATTTCTTTGGTGCTGCCTTGAGGCATTGTTTTGATATTCGAGATGCTTGCAATGTTGTTCATGTCTAATTTGTTTATCCTTTCTGAGTGCATAAAGTTCCTTCCTTCCTTGAAATGAAGCCGTCACTTGAGGACCAGCTGCTCCTGAGTTCGCTCTTACTCTGGCTCTGCTCCTACTCTGGTTATCTGGCTCCATTTCAGCACGTCATCAGTTTGGCTTCAGTTCATTGGTGGTCATATCTGTGATGAACCCTGTTATAGAAAACACCATTAAATAAACTTCTGGACCTAGTGATGCAGTTCACAAGACAGAGCCATACATCTTTGCAAAATCCTCAGTCTGTTAGTGCTCAGCCCTAGTTTCCCTTGATTTTGTGTTCTAAACTAGTTTAGCTGTGACACTCATAAAATATTACCTCCTGCTTTTCTTTGTAGAGTTGGAGAACCAGGAGTCTCGGGTCTCTGAAATCCACAGCCTTGTTCATCGGCTCCCAGAGAAAAATCGGCAGATGCTACAGCTGCTTATGAACCACTTGGCTAAGTATGTTTAAGACGAGTTGTTGGCTCTCTTCTCTCTCATAGAAAATTCTCATCTTAACAGTCAAGCTGGTCTCAGTTTTGCTAATGGTCTCCCACTATGAAATAGCATCAGGTATGCCAGAAGCTTCAGAAAGAGGTGTGCGAAATGTTAACTGCTATGGATAACAGTAACTAATGTGAGATGATCTTCACAGAAGTGTCTGGGAAAGTGCACAGGCCGCCAGGCAGGGTTTGCATGGTGTCTTTGCTCTTGAGATGATCAAAAGAAAACTGGAGTCTGAGATAGCCAGACCACAAGCAGAATTTTCAGGGGTTCTGTTTTCTTGCGATCAAGGATTGTTGTTGTTATTGTTGTTCTTAAATGCTGTTGAGTTGGTTCCGACCCATAGCTACCCTGTATAGGGTTTCTGATGAGCAGCTGGTGAGCTTGAACCACTGAGCTTGTGATCCAAACTGACTTTGCAGTCCAGTATGTTAACCCACAGCACCACATCAAGACTCTGTGATCAAGGATGAACAGCGGTTTATTGTGGGTTTGGACCTTGGATTCAGACTCAGAAGGCCTGGGTTCTAGATTTGACGCTTTGAAAAATTACTTAATCAGCCCTGGACAAGTCACTAACCTCTCTATTCCTTATTTTCTTCATCTGTTAGTAGATATACTTGTTGGTTGTTGGTGTTTAAGTGTTGTTGAGTCCATTCCGACACATAGCGTTCCTATATAAGGTTTCCGAAGAAGCGGATGGTGAGTTTGAACCACTGACCTTACAATTCAAACTGACCTTGTGGTGCTTATGCTACAGTGCCACACCAGGATTCCTTTATTTACAAGATCATTAATAAAAACGGTTGCCTGTATTAAATTATTTTAAGAAGTAAGAGAATGAAAAAACAAATATTTGGGCAAATGCCTGGGGTTTTCTTGCTAGGAACTTTCATGTTCTTAGTACAGCATTGGAGTTCTGTATATTTGTCGTTGCTTGAGCCTTTTAAGGAGCCCTGGTGGCACAGTCATTTAAGCACAGGGCTGCTAGCCCAAAGATACAGTTTGAATCTAGAAGCCTTTCTGTGGGAGAAAAGTGAGACAGCTTGCTCTCATAAGATTTACAGCCTTGAACACCCCATGGAGCAGCTGTACTCTGTCCTACACGATGCTGTGAGTTGGAATTGGCTTGATGGCAGTGTTTGTTTGTTTTTTAGTGACCCACTGAGGAGAGGACTTGTTGTATCAGCCACTACAGTATTTATGTTCTAACTTTCCACAGACTTAGAATGTTCTTGATTGAAAACTCGAGTCTAAGAAAAGATTACGAGTATAACAGCAAATCAAGGTCCTTAATACTACTCGGCTGATGAGTTATGAATTTGGCCCTTACGTACTTTGTTCATATTTTATCCATGCCATGAAGTCATTTACTTTGACTAAGTTAACACCTGCTAATGGAGAATGGGATGACTAGCTTTCATAGTGCTGTCACATATTGGATAGTTCTTTTTGGAGAGAGAGTATATATGTTACCATGAAGATTTCCACATGTCTTAGTTATGATGAACTGAGACTATTTGAGGTGTTGGTGAAGAACAATTGGGTAGAGTCAGGTATTGCTCCTTTATTGGTCAGAGCAGAACTACATGTTAGGGAATACTTAAGAATCAGAAAAGAAAGCATGCAAGTTTGCAGTGAGAATGCCCCCCAAAGTGTCAAAGAACCCTGTTGAAGTGTGTTTAAATTAATGGGAAATAGGCTTTAAAAAATAATTCCAGATGCTCTGAGATAATAGTTTGTTGTGTGTTCCACACAACCCGGAGCCAGGCATTTGTTCAAAGGAAAAGCTGGTGCAGAATCTTAGTTGCAAAAGTCTGTACACTGGAAGGACAGTTACCAAAGCAGAGGAAATTCCAGGTTCACACTTGAGCCAAGTATGTGTGTGGATATTTGTGACTGCTTTATGGCCACTGGATCTGCAAAAGGCCTCCAAGCCTGCTGGGAGCAGCTGGAGGAGAAGGCTTAGAGACCAGCTGCAAGCAGTGGGTCTTTTCAAGCTGTGCAATTGGAATTAGAGCTTAATTGGACTGAGAGAGACCAAGAATAAGTGGTGATCCAGAAAAGGGCATGGGGTCAGTATTGAATGTTTCCCATTTTAAATTGTCCTTAGGACTGTTAGGAATCTTAAAGAAGAAAGGGTTTAGGGGTGGAGATTAGAAAAGAAAAAAATGCAAAAGAAAATAGATCTTGAACAGTGACCCCTGTTCACTGGTTAGTGGTTTACTTTCCCTCTTTTTCCACTTAAGGCCCCTCAGTCCATCTTTTGTTTTAATCACCCAGGGAGTAATGCAGCCAGAACATGCGGGTTATAGCTGTGCCCTGGACTTCTTGTCTTGTAACCAATTTAAGCCATTTTGTTGCTGGAGTCATTTATTGCCTAGCATTTCTCAAGCATTCTGTCTTGTATTGGTTACTTGGCAGTAATTTTCTATGGTTTTGTGAGGTTCTGTGGTATTTCACTTACTCAAGGAGAAATCTAGGTATATATGAGCTCCCCTGGCTGTAATGTGAATTGGTCAGAGCTGGCGTGAGAACACACAGACTCAGGTACTCAGCATGCCAACTTCTTGGTCTCCAGAGCCTCTAGATTTAAACATGGCTAGGAAGAGATGGATATGAATGAGCACTGCTGGATCCAGTAAGAAGTTATTTATTTAGGCCTGAAAAAAAATTCTATGGTACCCAGAGGGCTTCTAAAATTCCACTAAAACTCAATATTCTCATTTACAGTACTGTCCTCATTTTAAAATCAAACAGTAGAGAAAGTTAACTTGGGACAAGGAGTTTTAATCTATATAACTCCAGTTTTCTCAGGTTCAGAGTTACGCTAGGATATGCCTGAGCTATTGTTCCTCTGGTCCACTTACTTAATGGTCAGCTTCCTTCCGAAGTTTTGGTTTCAGGGCTGGTTCTGCTGGAAAACCCACTGTTTTGTGCTCTCATTGCCTACTGTGTTTACCCTGTGCATCTGAGGCTTCTGGTTCAAAGGCAAGGCATTTTGTATTGTGTAGATTTAAAATGCTCTTTTGAAATATTTTTGTAATTGATTTCTTTTGGCTATGGAGGAAGAGTTAAGGTATTTTATTTTTAATTCCATGTAGAAATGCTTTCAGAGGAAAGAAATACCTTGAGGGGAATGGATAAAAACCCAAAAGCTCTAAAGCAAGTGATTACCAGGGTGTACCCAAATCAGTTGGGTTTGTTTGAACCTCAGAGGGAGCATAAAAATTATAGGCAACCATACACATATTTGTGTTGTTCGTGCTTAAATCTGCTATGATAATTTGATGTTTTCTGTTTGGATCTTAGAATCTAGTGTACGGTGTAGTGCCACATGCCTGAAAGCCTGGTTAGGGTGCCACCAATGTCAGAATTACTTGAGGTCCTTGTTTACTTTGCCATTCCTGGGTCCCATCTTGGGCCTAGTAAATCATACTTTGCCTGAGAATCTGCATTTCTAATTTACTTCCCAGGGAAGTATTATGAAGAAAGTCTCTTGAGAACCTCCAGCCAACAGAATAGGCTATATGCAAGGATTTTCTAAGAGAGAGAAAGTGGCCTTGAGGAATGGTCTGGGATCTAGGAGCATTAGTAAGTGCATTCAAAAAAGAGACTTTATTATCATAATTAAAGTTGTTAAAACAAGAAGTCCAATTTTGCTTTCCCAAATATTTGCAGTTCAACATTGCAAATTGAGTTTTTAGCAAATGGCTTTATTTTAAAATCATGCAGAAAGCATTTTTAATAAAGTCAATCAGCCTCAGCAAGCTGTGGGACCTTGTACATACAACTCATTCAATCTCTTTAAGCCTCTTCTCTGAGCTTCCTTCCCACTGTGTGATTCTGTGTTCTCATCAGGCAGAAGAGGGGCAAAATTCCCAATCTTGTCATTGCAGATGAAAATAAGAATAGATGAGTAATAACAACTAATTTCTTGGTCCTTCCCTAATGTGTGCATATTATGATGACGCCAAGTATGTTGTATACCCCACACATACCATTCAGAGTGGCTCATGGTAACTTTATGGCACTGTTTATGCTGTGTGGGAGGATTTCAAAGGACTCTCCATCAGGAGCAGGTATTAAAAATACCTCTTCACAACTGGTTTTCCCAGCACACTTAGTGAGAAACAAATAAATAAATCTCTGAGAAATGCGACTATTCCTTTATTGCTAGGGTGTTGTCAGAGCCTATCTGGCCTCTCCACAGAGGAATTGCATCATGTAAGATGTTTTGGACTGCAAGACACTAAAAATCCACCGCAAAGTGATTTAAACAATAAGGGAATCTATTGTCTCATTGGATCCCTGGTGTGGTGTTGTAGGATCCGCACTGAACCACAAGGTCAGTGGTTCAAACCCACCAGCTACTCCTCAGCAGCCCCATACAAGATTGCTATGAGTTGGAACTGACTCCAGGACACTTAGCAACAATTGTCTCATTACATGCAATCAGCCCTGAGGGTTGGTTAATTCCTTGGCTCAGGAAGGACTCTTTGTTATTTCTGTGTCCTTCCTCAGGTGACTTCATTGTGTTGTCTAGCTTTTAACATGGTCATAAACTGTTGCATCATGGCCTGGGACATTAATGGATGCCCAGAGGAGGAGAAACTCTTACCAGCAGACTCCCCATAATCTCTGACAGGTCACATGCTCACCCCTAATGCAAGCATCAGCAAGGGGAATGGGGCCACCTTGAGTGTTATACATCAAACTGGATTTACCTGAGCCACTTGCTAGAGGAGTGGACACCAGAATAAAAGCAGAGTTTCAGTGAGCAACTCACAGTGCCTACTACAACTAGTCTCAGTAAAATAACACTCAGTAGAGAGTCTGAAGTCTATTCAGTGATCTTTGCATGGGCTGCGAACTATATCAAGACAGGTGAGACAAAAAGGCCAGTTTGGGAAAGGAGTAGTGCATCTAGAATGCACACAAGAATAGCCAACTTACAA